ACATCACGTGCAATACCGTTTTCTGATACACCCGTCTTTCTTCTCATCTCATCTCACCTCATCTCTTCTTCCATTTTTGCAAAGAGACTTCTATCAACTTCTCCAAGGAAGGAAGAGAAGAAAGACATCCAGCCGGATCCGTAATCATACGTAAGTGCCTGTGATGAAAGCACGAGTACTTTTTCCTCSGCATTCCGGTAATCATAATAGTGAGATCATTAACGATAATGTTTCTACGATWTGGCATTGTTTCAAACGTGAAATATTGGCTCGGAGAATCTAACTTTATCTTCAATTTCTTTCTATAGGAACAAAGCCTTGGAGACACGGACTCCAATCTCAAACSAAGATCGAAGAGTATCTCGCAGAAACGAGCCACGATGACGGGCACTGTAGAAAAGCGAGTCACGGTCAACGCAGCCACCTCTGATGAGCGGCGCAAAAGCTTGACTATCTCCGACCTCTCCCCAATCACCGAAGGCGATGTGTCTGATCCAGATGTATCAACCAACCGCCGARCGAGTTTCGCTATGGTGAAACAGTCGGATAGGTTTCGAATCAGCAACARCCCCACCGAACAAAAGGCTGAGCGTATCGAGGTATTCTCTACCAACCATGGAATGGGGATCTTMCTGGGTGTTCTATACCTGGTATTCAACTTCCTCGTAGCGGCTCACGGAGCCTACCAATTCACGGAAGTAGGTGGATGGACAACAGATGATGACATCCTCAGGATTACTCTACCGATTGCCCGCGCAGGTGGACGACTGGTGACTATGAACTGTGCCATTCTCTTGCTAACGGGCTGCAAATATTTATGGACATTGGTTCGGTCGCACATCGTCCCGGTCATCCCAATTGCCTTCCTTACCGACAACATTATGCCGAAATACCACCGTTATGTGGCGTTGACAATCATTGTTTGTGGATGCATCATCCATACCCTGCCTCAAATTGTCAACTATGCCACGAAATCCATCAGTATGGACSACGACGGCATCCGCTTCTGGACCTTTGGAGATGGTTTTGCTACGAAGCAGCTGCTTTTCACGGGCACTCTGCTTACAATAGTCTTTTCCACCTTCTTCCTAACCACTCTCAAGTGCTTTCGGAAAAGTACCACTGGCTTTCGATGGTTTTGGTTCTTCCACATGGGTGGGCTCGCTTTGGTCTACCCATTGCTGATTGTCCATGGTACCTATAGGGGGCATCCTCTTTTTTTCTATGTCTCTTTGCTTCCTTTGTTCATCTATCTCTTTGACGTGTTCATGAGACGAAACAACGCAACGACTGTGCGGGTTCTAAAATGGAAGGCCCATGATGATGATGGGCAGCAAATCACAGAATTGGTGATCGAATGCCCGAAGAATTTCAAGTACTGCCCGGGCCAGTATGCCGAACTGAAATTCATTCCTGTCTCCCGCTCGGAATGGCATCCGTTCACCATTGCTAGTGCCCCCAATTACGAGCACGACTACGAGCACGACTACGAGCACGACTACGAGCACGATAGCGATAAAGGCGACAGTCCGAAGAAACTCGTCTTCTGCATCAAGAACGCGGGGCGGTGGACCGAAGCCTTTTTCGAATACGCTAAAGCATTCGACCTGAAGAAAAGTGCCAAGCCCGTGACAATCCAACTCCGTGGCCCACACGGTGCGCCGGCGATGAATTACTTCGAGTACAAGCACATTGTTGTAATTGGATCCGGTGTGGGCGTCACCCCGTTACTATCGATTTGGAAGTACCTGATGGAAAAAGGAAGAACTATGTGCCAGGAATCACCTCGGAAATTCAACCGCCGCGAACCTCGCCCAAGTCTCATAGAAGCGCTCAATGGCAGCACGTTGTTTCAAAACAAAGGAGCAATTGGTTACGGAGAGAACAGTCTCGGTCTCGGTAATAGTATTCGAGGTCTAATGGGAAAGAGCTGTCCCGATCCCTGGGAGGCTGAGGACGTACTTAAAGCCAACAAGATCCGCACCTTCTGCCTCCATTTGGAAAAGCTTCTGGAATCCATGACATTCTCGCTGATCCTTTTTGTCTTGTTTATTTCTGGAGAAGCAGTTTCCATTGCCCTCCAGCTGTTTCGATTCGACACGGCCGCAAATGTTTTAGGAGCTGTATTGTCTTTGATCGCCCTAGTGGTTCACGGAATAACCGTAATCGTATCCACGATTGCATTAGGTTACTCCTGGTATTTCAGGCTTCTTAAGTGTTGGTTGGAGTGCAGTATCATCATTGTTGATAGCTTCGCCCTTTGGCTTTCCATCTACAGCCTCACCTCAGAGAAAGGGGAAAACTTGAGGATCATGGACACCGCATATCTTGTCGTGTTTGGTCTGGTCGTCGCCTTGCACGCAATGCGTGTGTTCCACACATACCACCTGATCTTGAAGCCACACGATAGTTCCAACGATAGGAAGAAAGCGCTAACTAGAGGTGATTCCAACTCGGTGCGGTTTTCCACCAGCGATGCAAAAACTAGTAACAGCGACGTCAATGAAATCCGTTCAATCGATGGAATCCTAATCAATCGCATGTATTCTAACATGCGATTTGCCTCGAGGTGCCTGTTGCCCAATATCATGGAATTTGGTCTCTCGGATGTCTTTTCGCTAGAATTTTATGGCACTCGAGAAAAGAACAATAAGGCGTCCGAACGCACCTTGATCAAAAAGATGATGGCAAGTCGGGGAAGAGGAATCGACGTCGAGTCTTCCATGGCTGTCCACGACCACAATCCGTACTTTCATCCCGGTCGTCCTGACTGGAAGAAGATTTTCAAGAAGGCGTTGGCGAAGGCTCACACGACGAATCCAGACGGAGAACGTGTCGGTGTTTTCTTTTGTGGAAGCCCGGCGATTGCGAAAGATCTGCAAATTATTGCTTCTTCAGTCACGGCACAGCATCACTACGCCGTAAAGCATCTAGAGGGGAAAGCGTGCAAATGCAAAGTGATCGTACACTCGGAAAACTTTTAGGACGGAGATTTAAAGTTGAACTACATTATGTTAGCACATTATTCGTTTGTTGCATGTTGTATTTGTTTAAAACTCTTTTTGGTATTTCAGTCTTATTTTGTGTAGGATTTGTACTGCAGTCTACACAGGTGAAAATAATGGAAACTCCAAAAAAATTTCCAAAAATGCACGATTTGGGCGGAGACGGGAAAAAGTTAAAATACATGACTACTTTTTTGGACGAACAAGCGGA